GTTTATATATCTTTAAAAGTTTCGTAAATAGTTTTATTTTTCTTGAGATTTAAATTTTAGGATTTATAAATTTTTATTTACTTCCGTAAATTTTCATAAGTTTTTACGGTGCATGAGATTTACGTAAATTTATGTAAAATTTTACGTAAATTTACAATTTTCTTATGGTGCGTAAGAAAATCGTAAATTTACGTAAAAATTTTACGTTAGTTTATGTAAATCTTATGGTGCGTAAGAAACTCGTAAATTTACATAAAATTTTACGTAAATTTACGATTTTCTTACGCACTGTAAGATTTACATAGTTTTACGCTAAATTTTACATAAGTTTACGATTTTCTTACGTACCGTAAAAACTTACGAAAGTTTACACATATATATTTTTGCTGATGATAATCAGTATTCTAGTTATTTTTATCATAACTAGGTACTGTGGTGTCATGCTCTTTTTTTTTAACAAGTGATTTAAATCATGAGAACAATATAAAAAATTGTAAGCAAAATTATACATCACAAAACTTAGAACATTTCTTAGTAAGACTATACAAATTTATTGTTTTGGTTTTTATAACAATAACCTTTTAAACAGGTCTGGCCAATCGACTTTTTTTCTACATAAAAATGTTACAGCTATTATTATAAATTCTGGAACACCAAGTAAAAATTTGCTGACCAATTTTCAGCCGATTCAGTTAAGTTATTGAATTTGGCATGATTGGTATATAAAAAAATTATGTCAACACAATAAAATTATAAATGACAAGAAAAAGTGCAAGAATTATTAACCGAATTAAAGAAAATATAATACAAGTTAAGGTTTTAAGATTTTATTTACCATCAACCCAATTTGGGTGTTTCTATTTTGACTAATTCTTCACTCTTTTCTTCTATCTTAACTGGCTCAGATTTTTCTAATTCGGATGCCTGTGCTTTTTCTATCTTAACTGGCTCAGATTTTTCTAATTCAGATGCTTCATGCTTGTGCATTGATTTGTTTCCTGTACTCTTTACTTATTTCAAGTAGTTCTTTTTGTTTTTTGTTGTAAATTTTTTTAATATACAAATTGCGCATTTTTATTAAGGCCAGACCAATTTAATTCTTCGTTTAACATAACCCCCTTCCCTCTATTTTTCAAAATTTATATGAACCCAATACACATTAATAGTAATTAATAGTATTTACCCCCCCTCAATTTTTTAAATTTTATATAACCAACACATGTTAAATCAACCAATAAAATTACAAAATTTTTATTTTTGTGTTTTTTTTGTACTCTCCCCCCCCACTTTTATAAATTATTTAATGTTATGTTAAACGAAGAATCAATTTGGAGTGGCCTAAATCGCATGTGCGTGATCATCTAGGTGGCATTTTGATAGAGTAAAAAATGTGGATTTTGAAAAAAACAGAGAGATATTATATAGAATATTAAATTATTACAAACACACTCTCACATATTGAATTACTTAATTGTTTAAAATTTCTTTTATTAATAAAAACAAAAAGTCCACAATTGAGATTATTGTTAAAAATAAAAAATATAGACTATATATTATAATCTTAAAATAAAACACATATATATTTATAAATAATTACTTTCCCGCATAACTGTATGGATTTTTGTAGTTGATTTGGCTACTGCCATAGATAATTATTAGATAAGTTCGCCAGGGTAGCCATTCAAAGTCTGGATCAGATAATAAGATGCTGCATAATTATTAAGATCATGGATCATATATGCAGCTCCTGCTTGCAGCTTTATTGTTATGATATACTACTGCTACTAGTTATTCAAGTGTTGTGATGATAGTTTGAATCATATAACTCAGACTTTTGGTGGTCACCATGGCGAACTGCCCTATATAAAAAATTTTAAAAATAATCATTAATTATTTAATAAGCTAAGTCAACTAGCATAACAATGATACAACCACATTATATAAATAACCCAAATAATAACAAGTGGCTATTCATATAATTGGTAAATTATAGCCGCAGTGGCTACGCTATCAATCCACTTTAAGAGAGCTACTCTTCTTAACTAGCCCAAGGCCAGACTTTTTAGGAACCAGATTAGAACTGAATTCTAATTGTTACTTAGCTTTTGTAAATTCCCTGTATAAACAATAAGAAATTATTCAATAAAAATTTTTGAGATAATAATTAAAAATTAGCTTAATAATTTTTAAAGCAAAAAATCTCTAATTAGCATCATAACTAATACGTACCTGTTTATAATCACCTTAATGAATTGGCCGTTCATTGAAAAAGTAGAATCTTAGGAATAAATAAATTTAAAATAAATTAGTGATAATTATACAAAAATGAATATATAAAAGAATAAGATCTAAAATATATACTCATCTAAAAACATTTACATCACAACTAATTTAAAATCTACAATATTTAAATTTTTATCATTAATAGTTTTTATAATTTTTTTTTAAAAAATCACCAATGGAAATCCCAGAGGATTTGGTGCATTTTTTTGAATCTTTAGATATTACTTTTACCTTAGATCCTCAAGAAATAGAGCACGATAAAGAAGAAGCAGAATATGAAGAAATGGAATATGACAAAGAAATAGCAGAGGACATTCAATTTGAATCAGAAACTGATTCAAATACTGAAGAAGTCATGGCAGAAGAACCTGAGAAAGTTCCTGAAAAATATTAAGATGTAGTTAATAATTTAGTTAACAGGTTTAAATCATGTTGTTCGTGTAAGAATAAATGTAGTGAAAAAGTTTCATCAAGCCTATTACAATTTTTAGCATTAGAAAGTATTAAGATGAGTAAAGAGCAATGACATAATTCAATATCAATACTTATATGTTCTTCTGGTAAAGAACTGTACAAAAAACAAACTCATACCAAGTATCCACTACTATACTTTGGTGAAGTTTGTAGTATTTTTTTCTGAACATTTTGGTTATGTGGTAAAGATATGTTTTATCGTCTTCGTGGATGGGCCCAAAAAAAACAGACAATGCTTCCTCCACCTCATGGTAATATCAGCCATTTAACAGTTGTTAAACTACCTGTTAAAACAATTGATAAAATAAAATCTTTTATTAGAATAATTGGTAATCAACATGGTGAGGCATTAGCCGTTTAAAAATATGTGTGAAAAAAAATAAATGGGCAAATAATAGTACAATATGAAAAAAATAATCTTGTCCTTCTTCCATCTCACTATTCCTATAATCAGCTCTTAGTTTTTTATAATCTAATGCATCCTGATAATCGTGTAAGTAGTTGGAGCTTTCAAAAAATATGGAAAGATGATGTTGAGTTAAGTAAGACTGTAATTAGAAAACCATCTAAAGATGTATGCGATGAATGTACTTTGTTTAAACATGCATTAAAAGAAAGTAATAATATAGATGAAAACTTTGATAACCAACTTACCATGCATATACATAATTATCGTTCTATGAGAGAAGCATACGAAAATGATATTCAAATGGCAAAAGAGTGTAATCGATCTGAATTTCGTGTTTTGTCTTTTGATTTCGCTCAAAACGTTGAAATACCTCATGACTCTTAACAACCAGGAAGGTGGTATTATTCGACATTGTTAAAAGTGCACCAATTTGGATTAGTGGAAGAAGGTATTGACCATCATTGGCATTTTCTTTATACAGAAGCAAAAGTAGCAAAGGGGACCAATGAAGTTACATCCATGGAGCATCTATTTTTAACTTCTGTTGTGGGTAAAGTAAATGAAATTAGATTATGGGCAGATAATTGTGGTGGACAAAATAAAAACTCATGTCTTATATGGTATTTTCTATAAGTCTGTCATACCCAAATATTTCAAAAAATCAAATATCACTTCTAGATCAAAGAGCATACTCAAAATTCTGTTGACCGAGAATTTGGTAATACTAAAAGAGAGTATACCATATCAGAGGTTTGGTGCATTGACCAGTTAGTTGAAGTAATAAATAGAAGTGCAAGTAATAATTTTTTTGTAAGCTTAGAAGATCAAATAGAACTATTTTGTGATTGGACTTCTGCACTTAGCTTATTGTACTGTAAACCTCCAGCAATTCAAAAATACTATTTTTTCTAGTTTAGCAGCGAAAATCCTGGTATAATGAAAGCTAAGGCTAAACCCGCTGATCCATGAGATGAATTCCAATTATTAAAACCAAATGCCAATGCTGAGAGTTTAAATCCTCAAGAGCTTCTGTCAAAAGGTCTTTCTGAAGAAAAACAAGTTGATCTTTGGAATAACATTCGCCAATATTGCCCTATTGCTTTCCATGACAAATTTTGCTCAAAACCAAGTGATTATTTAATTGAAAGGGTTGGAAATCGGAAAAGGGTCCATGCAAAAGAGGCACAACAAAACAAAATGGCAAAAAAAACCGTAATGAGTTATGTAATTAGTTGTGATTTGATAATACAAAATAAAATAAAAAATACCTATACCTATTAGATTTTAAGTTACTAAAGCTTTTAATGTTCCCAAGTAACAAACTCAACGATCTGGGAATTCAAAAATCCCATTTTACTTGTGATTAAGAGAACCATATTTAATACGAATCATTATCGTTATCGTGTTCTGATAAGATCATTATTGTGTTACCGAAACTACTAGAACACTCATTTCCTCAGGGGTTAAAAAAAATTTATTTCCTGGTTTTTATTCTCACGCACTCAAATGTTCTATAAGCTCAAAATTCGGCTAACAACACTAGCCGTTAGCCAATCAAAATCGAGGATCTGCCGCGTATTTTTTGTGCTGCACCTAGTTAATCTGTAGTTACGGAAATGGTACTTTTACCCTGTTTCTGAATCGAAGTTCAAAGAATAGCGAAATAGTTTCAGTGATTCTTAGAACGAGATCGATGAAGTTTCAGGAACGAACAAATTTTTAGGTGCCCCAGAATTCGCTGTAAATCTATAGTAGAATTAGTGATGCAAAAAGGCACTGCAGAACCGTAAGCCGACCGGCTTAGCTGAGTTATTTAACGGCTCCACGTAATACAAGCTAAGCCGTTAGTTAGCTGAGCCGTTAGTTAGCCGAGCCGGTTTAGAGCCGTGAGCCGATTATATGTTATGACAAAACTAATATAAATAATAAACTTTCGATTGATAATAAACTTTCATATTAATAATAAACTTTCGTATTGATAATAAACTTTCATATTGATAATAAGTTTTCGTATTTATAATAAACTATAACAATATGTCGTAATATTTTGTAAACTATTTGTCATAAATATATATTTTTCTTTAGATACTTACAATACTCGCCCAAATGGATCATAACGACCTTTCTTATATTAATTCCCAAAATTCACAAGACACTTTGCAAGAAATTTCTGATAATAATATAACGATATAATAATAGTTTTTTTTTTTTTTTATGTTTTTATACTATCGCTGCTTTAATTATTAATTACTGAAATATCTGTATATGTATTAACGCTGAATTTAATTTAAAATCAATTTTATATAGCGATATAACAATACAATTTAGAGCCGACGGCTCTTGAACGGCTAGCTAAAAAATGGCTCGGCTAAAAAACGGCTTACAGCTGTTTTCATAAATTCTGGAACAAATTAAAAATTGCCGATGACCGAATCGTTAAGTTTCTGAGTTCGGCCGAAGTTGTTACTTATTGATTCCGACTCGGTAACTTATCGATTCGGTCATCGGTAATTTTTTCATTTGTTCCAGAATTTATGAAAACAGCTGTAACTAAAATATGACTCAGCTCTGTTATAGCCAGCTGTTAGCTCATAGGCAGACATTCGTATGATTGGCTGTTTTAAGTCAATTTAATTTTACATTATTTATACAGTTTAAAGTACTTTTTAAAAAAAAAGAAAACTACGAAGAATAAACAAAAAAGAAGTATATAGAAAGTTTTAGTAGGGTTGTAGGGCTCCACTATTAAAAATAATCAAATTTCTTTTTTATTTTAGAGAAGTAGCATAATAACGACTTCTTAAAATTAGGTTATCAGCGT